TTGCAGATAGAGTGAGCCCCTCTGTGGGTGTGTGTGTGTGTGTGTGTGTGTGTGTGTGTGTGTGTGTGTGTGTGTGTGTGAGAGAGAGAGAGAGTGCCTCTGTGTGTGTGCATGTGTATTTCATATATACATACACACATGCACTTTCACAGTAGCTTTTCAAAACTGGGAAAATAGATTTCCACAGTGTTAAAAGAAGACACAGTATTAAGTTTATAGTGCAGTGATGTATACATTTTGTAACCTAACCATGATTTTCTTAAACAAGATTTTGAATCATGTCTTTCTTTCTGAAACATCCCACCATAAATGATTGTCTCACTTCACTCAAGCTGTCTGCATAATGTATTTTTGATAAATTATTTTTAACCACTGGAATTTCTTAATGTCACACTTTTGAGTAAAATGATATTGCACTTTTATAATCTGTATGCCATACCATTTATTAATCTGATACTTTACATGGTCTTAGTTAGCTCATTGTCTGGTGTAATTGAGAAATACTAGGTTACCAGAAAAAAGTTATTCAGTGTGGATTGTGAAAACAAACTGATTATTTTAACAGAAAATATTGCATGTTTTGTTACTCTGATTTACTGAAATTTACTCTCAGAAAGGTATGGCTAATGAATGTTTTGAGTAGGAGGATTTATTTTCAACTTGGCTTATTTTCCCCTATGTTGGTCTTATCAGTGTTGAAAATCCCTGAATGTTCTAATTTTTTTTTGCTGATTTCTTCCAGGTTTACATGAGTAGAATATGTTTTTCACCCTATTAGATTTATTAGTCTGCACAATATCTTTTTTCTGAAAATATTATCTTTTTAATTTTTTTTAAAACAGGCATTAAAGGGAATTGTAAACCCATATTAGATTGATATATTTTGATACAGGGGTCAGAACAGTAGTCTGGAGTCTGTTGTTCTTATAATGTGTTATAAAGCTTTTTTGGACTTTACCAAACATTTAATTTTAGAAAATATATTTCAGAATTGACTCTGAAAATGAGTTACTGTTGGAAACTTAACATCCTCTTAGGGTTTTTTTTACATAATTAGCAAAAAATAAAAATAAAAAAGGATTACCTCACATGCACACAATTCCACCATGTCCAGTTCACAAGGAAAGTTTCTTATCTATTACATGTTGTTTAGCATAATGGGTGCTTCTTTTAGTCTATTGCAAGCATCATGGGATAAGTTTATATTCTTTTGCTTTTGTCTAAGCTGACCTTTTAAAAATTCTTTTAGTAGGATTTTAATAATTTTAAAAAGCAACCTTTATGATGGACTCTGTAAATATGTTAATTAACTAGCTGTTTATCTGTTGTACGTGTCATGGGCTGAATGACAGAACAAACGTATTTATGGTCATGAATGATGCTATTTGTAAATAGAATTCAAGTTATTAGGACACAAACTGTGTTTTTAAATCTTGTATAATATTTCTGTGATACTTTTATAGAACAATTCTGACTTCAGGAAAGTCTAGAAGCAATTTTTCTTGAAATAAAAGGTGTTTTACTTTACCTGCTTCAGAGAGAGAAACATCATCCAGTTTTTATAGTAAATTTAAATGTTAAAATAATTTTAGTTTAATTTTGTTTATGGTTTTAATCTAATCACAATTAGACAGTTGGTAATAAACCTATATAATACTTTGTATAAGGAAACTGCTACTTAAAACCATTCCGCATGGTTATGAATAATGTATTCCTTGCTTAGTAAATATTGCAAATAATTTAGTTCCCAATCCATCAAACCATTACTTCCATTGTAAGCAAATGAGGCAACCTGCATGCTTAATCCACTGGCCTGAGCTCAAGAGGATAACCATTTGTTCCCTTTCTATGGATGAATGGACTGGGACCTTTAAAGCAGAGTCACAAGCAGAGGGGCTGATATTCCTGCTCCTAGCCTAGTCTTTATAGCACTTGCCCAAGAAGTACAGTAGAATTGTTTCCCTCTCGAGTCAAACCCACAATTCTTGCCTCCCAGAAGAGCACCTTACATATGGGCTATAGGCTGGGTATGGGGAAGTCTACACTTGTATTGCAGCTAGGACTCTCTTCAGAAAAGAAAGATGTGTAGCAGGCTCACCTTTCAGAGCTTGGGTTGAGTCCCAGGCTTGAGATCCTGCTGTTTTGATTGGTAGAGCCCATTCACCAATCAGGAGGCAGCAGGAAAATAAAGCAGAAGAGCTCCCCTGGACCTGATTGAAGACTGTAAACTGTCAGGTCTGGAAGACTTCAGGGGTGAGCCTGCTACAGATGTATTGAATTGGACCACAAAGAATGCACAGTTGAGCATAACTGCATAGCCTAGTGGTTGGGGGTTCAGCAGGAAGAGTGAGAAACGTGGATTCTTGTCCTTACGCCCATTGGAAAAAAACCATGGGATAGTATACAGAAGCAGACTTAGGAGTGTGGATCGGATGCCATGCTGCATCTCTTCCAGGTGAGTATCCTATTTCTATGGCCACACACATCTTGAATTCTTTCTGGACCAAACTGGAGACCAAATAAATATGAACGCTAGCTGTGCATTTGATGTCATGTTGACTCCTAGTTATTCACAGCCAGCTTTTTAAACACTTCAGCTTTCTTAAATACCGGGGGGGGGGGGGGGGGGGGGGGCGGGCCCCTTTTATTGGGC